TCTGCTGGCGATAAAGTCTTGGTGAAAAAAAGAAAAACTCACCCATTTTATCTTTTGTTCTTTTTTTTCTTTTTTTTCTTTTGATGGTTTTATTTATTTATATAGAAAAAGTTACAAAAAATAAAATAAGAAATATAAGGTTGTAAATCTCAAAAATATCTAGAACCCTATATCTTTTTATTTGTTTTTTGCTTATGTTTTACCAGAAAAAATAATATTCCCACGCCCGCTTAAACCCCGCTCAAGAGACGTTAAGTGCGGGATCAAAACGCTGCTCAAAAGTTTGAGCGTCGACGGTGCGCTCAATCAGCGCGTGGTTTCACAGAATATAAGTTTTCCCGAATTTTTGTCGATCTCAAATTTGCATCCTTATATACTTCATCACTCACACAAACACACACACACACATAAACACACACACACACACACACACACACACACACACACACATACACACACACACACACACACACACACACACACACACACACGTGCACCCGCTTAGACTTGGAGGCTAAGCTAGGGGGCGCGCAACAAACGTTTGTGGATGGGAAAAAGAAGAAGATCCCATAGGATTGGAGAACGAAAGGTTGTCTTGTGAATGTACATTCAGAGGGGAATCAAAAGGAGATCGACGACATCTATAAACTTGTGAGAGATATAGAGATAGGCGGTGAGGAGAGTTCACAGAGAGGAACTCTTGCTGCAACAACCATAAAGGGTAAGGCAACTTGCTCGAATAGAGGCGGTCAGTCCAAGAGTCACCCAATGCACCCACTTGGGTGAAAGCTAGACTTAAACAGGACGTGGGGAGTGACCATTATTCTCACGGAGCTTGTATTAAATGTGGTCAGTATGGTCACACACAATACAAGTACAAGAATAAGAAGGTCTCTCAGAAGATTTTAGCCATGATGTGAGTACATCCCATGGAAACACGTCAGGCCAGTAGAAGTTATAGTTGCTTCTACCCGAGCTGAAGTAGATAATGTTTCCTCACCACTTCAGGAGATGGCTAAATCGCTAAATCTATTGGTTCTTTAGTCACCCTGCAAACAAGTCTTTAGTCACCCTAATATGTTCGTTAGATGTGTTTGAAGTCGTAGACTCTTAGAGGACTTAGAGGAGTGGTCAGAGAAGGACCCTCAGGAGTCTTGGGTGTCAATGGTAAAGGGTTGTGGTAAAAGTTAGTGTTGGCAGTTGCCAGTGTGCTGCCTTCGCAAACAATGGCTCCACCTGGAACTTCATTAACCGCGCTCGTGTTGAGAGGTTGCGCTTAGGGGACCGAGTGCAGCGGCTGTGCCGGACCCGCCGGGATGGCGGTCCGACAGGATGGAGACGAAGGGTAGACGAGGGAGGAGATAGAGATGAAGCTGGAAGGGACAGCGCAGCTCCGACGCAGACTCAACACACACGTACTCCAAGATCTGCAAAAGTGAAGAATGACGAAAAACAGACAAGTGTTGGGGTGTACCCCCAGCGGACTGACTGACTGGACTGGACTGGTCTGGTACCGACAGTGGTACCGGGCAGGACTAGAACAGTACACGGCCTGTGGGGTCAGGCCACGGCCTGGTCCCCCAGGCCGAACCGGGCAAATAGCCAAATAGGCCCTGGCTGTAGGCCAGGGCAGATGAAGGTCCGTTGCACGATCCTCAGACCTGTAATGGATCGCAAGAGCCATAAACACGCTATCCGCAAAAGCAGCAGAACTCTGCAATAAAGTAAGCTGAGAAATCTAGGATGCGGAGCAAACTCCATGCGGAGTCCATGCGATGCATCCTAAGCTACATAATGTCAAAAGAAAAGCAAATGTCTGGTATACATATCCTAGCTAACAGCAAAAAATTAAATGTAGTATGATACAATCCTAAAGTCCTGGAGGCAGTGACCTCGGTGCTGAAAGGAAAAGGGCAATATGTCACAAGATAACGTTATGTCCCTGAACCACTAAGAGTTGGATGGTCCCAGAGGGGGTGAATGCAGCCTAAGAATCGAAACTCCTAAGGGCAGTCACACATGAAGGTGGGATAGGTCATCAGGCTCAAGGTGGGAGAGTGGTAGCGAAACAAAACCAATGACCCTAACAGATAGACCATCAAGGCGGGTAATGCTCGACAAAAGGGTGACACCCTGCAGGGTCGACCATGAAAAGGGGAGCCTGGAATAGGGTGGAGCTATGCCGAACTGGAAGCATGCAATAGCCGGCTCTAGGGTGATGAGGGCAGTGGGTGAGGGAAACATGCACACAACTCATCGATTGGGGGAGGGAGCTAGATGTGGGAGCAAGGAAGCCAAGATAAGGCTACGGTCCCAATGCCTATGCGATACCAAGGGAGAGCCAAACTCAAAGAGACCCGGCTAAGTGATAACCATCATGCGACAGGGGCAAGGGAGTATGCAGGGTAGGGTGGTGACGTGATGTAGTCACGTCCAAAGTAGCTGAAGTCGTTGAAGTAGTCGATGACGTCGATGAAGTAGCAGTGGAGTCGATGTCGAAGCAGAGCCGCAAAACGCTGACATCCTGAAGAAGAGATGATGATGGAGTACCTGACGGTGTGAGTCAGTGGGGAAAGATAGAGGATAAGAGTGTCAGTCATCGTAACGCGAAGGGCGACGATGAGTGCGCTGTGGAAGCTCGGAGGCGACCGTCTGCGGCTGAGGAACGGCCTCAGAGGGAGTGGGCTCGTCCTCATCAATCTCCTCAGCCGGAGGAGGAGGAAGAGGTTCAGTCGGCTGAGTAGAAGCAGATGTCTCAGTACGACGAGCACGATCATATGCACGCACCAACATCCTGGCGTGCTGCAAGTGCTTGAGGGGCTCCCAAGTAGCCTCCTCATCAGGGTAGCCCTTCCAACGCACAAGGTACTCGATGCGTGGAGGGGTATCGTCGGTAATTCTGCGTGATACGATGTCGGAAACAACGAACTCCTCGTGACCGTCCACCATGATAGGTGGAGGGCGCTCATAAGGGCGTCCGACGAAGCGCTCGGACGGTCTGCGATAAGGACGCAGCAAGGAGATGTGGTAAACATCGTGTACGCGAGCCTGTCGAAGGTAATAAGGTAGCTTCACACGGAAGCTGACCGGATTAGCGGCAGTATCAGAATCGACGGCCTGAAGGATGCGGCATGGACCGAAGAAACGACGCCTGAACTTGCGAAGTGTATCTGCTTCGAGCTGTAAGTGGCGTGCGTCGACGAGCACATCCTCACCGACTTTTAATGGATGATCCATTCGTGATCGGTTCGCTCGTGCGGCCATGCGAGTCTGGGAGTCGGCTAAACTCTCATGTGCACACTTCATACTCGCCGCCATGTGGGCGATCTAGTCGTCAAGCGCAGGGCAATGAGTGTCTGGGCACAACCGCGATGGTCGTAGGAAATCCGCGGGTACGCGAGGGTGGTAGTCGAGGTCGCAATAGAATGGCGACATCCCTGTGGCTGGCAGAACAGCGTGGTTGTACGCAATCTCCGCGTGGGCTAAGTGTAAGTCCCACTGCTGGTCATCCCTAACAAACTTTCGGAGGATATTACCGAGAGTTTTATTGGAGACCTCAATCTGACCATCCATCTGAGGGTGGTAAGACGATGAGAAGCGGAGCTGGGATCCGTACACCTCGTGTAGTCGTTGCCAGAATGTGCTGGTAAAGCGCTGGTCACGGTCGGAGATGATGCTCTGGGGTAAGCCGTGATCTCTCACGACTCGGTCGAAGACGATGTCGGCGACGTCACGAGCGCTAATGCGATAGCGGCACGGGACAAAACGTGCACGCTTCGTGAAGCGATCGACGACGACCAAGATAGCATCATGACCGCGCTCAGTGGGTGGGCGGAGGGGACCAATGAAATCCATCGAGATGGACTGCCAACGACCCTCAGGTATGGGTAGGGGCTGAAGTAACCCATACGGAAGGTGGTTCGCACTGTTCACCTCCTGGCAGGTAGGACACTCCTGGATGTAGGCTTTGACAAAGTCCTTGGACTTCGGCCAGACGTATAGGCGGCAAACACGAGCCAACGTCTTGTGGAAACCCATGGAACTCTGCTACAGCCTGGACGCGGAGCTGTCCGGTGGAGGGAACGCAGATACGTGGTTCTAGCTGACCAGATCTGCCATGCCAGTACACGAGGCCGTTCTCCCCGAGGGAGTAGGAAGGAACGGTCTTGCCACTCCGCAGTGTCGCGTGGATGACGCGATAATCGGGGCAGTGGCGGTACTGAGTGCGATACGCGTCGATCACCGACTGATCAACAGTGGTAATGGAGATGGCAGCAAGATGGATGGGTTCCTGATTGTGATCAGGACGGCGGGAGAAGGCGTCGGCGACGCGGTTCGTTTCACCCTTGATGGGCTGAGTGGTGAAACTGAACTCGGATAAGTCACGCCACCAGCATGCTTGTCGAGGGGAAAGCTTAGGCTTCGTGAGGAAAGCCTGGACAACTGAGTTGTCCGTGCGCACCGTGAAGGGCGCCCCGTGCAGATAATGACGCCAATGCCGGGTAGCATAAACTACTGCAAAAACCTCACGTTCATCGGCAGTGTAGTTTATCTCGGCAGGCAGTAGCTGACGGGAGTAGAAAGCGATCGGGAAATCCCCAGCACGAGCCTCGACAGTCCCATCCTCCGCGATGGTCGGGGAGTAAGTAACAGGAGGACTGTTAGTGGAGGGAAGTGGTAGGAGGGTAGGCGTCAGTTGAGAAGCAGTGTCAGCAGGAGGGGGGGGAAAAGGAGGAACATGGGGGTAAGGTGAATCTGGAGGAGAGGGAAACACCTGAGAAAGGACAACTCCTACTGCAAAGTCTGACGCATCGGTGGTGACAATAAAGGGACGATCAAAATCGGGAAGGCGAAGAACCGGCGCACAGGTCACCGCCTTCTTGAGGGCGCGAAAGATGTCCTCGCACAAGGGTGTCCAAAACCACGGCGGGTTCTTCCGGAGGAGGGTAGAGGTAAGGACGTAGGAATACTGAGCGTATCCCTGGATAAAATTACTATAGTAGCTGGTGAGGCCTAGGAAGCTGCGAAGCTACTTGGAAGATGTGGGGACGGGCCACTCTGCAATAGCAGTGACCTTCGCGTCGCCCATGTGGAAACCCTGGTCAGACACATGGTGTCCTAGGAAGTCCACTTTGCGCTGGGCAAAGCGACACTTACTGAGCTTGGCATAGAAGCCATGCTTGCGTAAGCGCTGTAGGACATCGCGGAGGTGTCTGCGATGGTCTTCTAAGGTACGACTGTAGACCAAGATGTCGTCCAGGTATACGAGAATGTATTCTTCAAGGATGTCCCTGAAGATGTCGTTCATCGCCGTCTGGAAGGTGGCGGGTGCATTGGTGAGGCCGAATGGCATCACCGTGAACTCATAGTGGCCGAAGCGCGATCGGAAGGCGGTCTTCGGCTGATCCTCTGTGGCAACACGGATCTGGTGGTAACCGCTACGAAGATCGCCTGCCAGACGGTCAAACAACTCATCCGCACGGGGCATGGGAAAGTTGTTCTTAATCGTGTAACGGTTAAGGCCGCGGTAGTCAATGCAGAGGCAGAGAGTTCCGTCCGCTTTGCGAGCAAAGAGGACAGGTGCACCCCAAGGGGAGTTGCTGGGTTTAATGAAACCCAGTCGAAGGAGCTCCTCAAGCTGACGCTTGAGTTCCATCGCCTCTGGAATCGAGAGTCGGTATGGTGCCTGATGGTGAACACGATAGTCAGGCACGAGATGGATGGAATGTTCGACACCACGCATCGGGGGAATCCCGTTGTATGAGAAATAGGGGGGGAAGACGTCGCGGTACTCTCGAATCAGGTCGCGAACGGCGGGCTCTAAGTCTGTAATGAACCGTGTGAGTTCCTCAGCGTCTGCGTCAGCACGAGACGTATGTGTGGACTCCACAGTCGACGGCACAGAGGCCTGAGACGTGGAGGAGGTATCCGCAGGCTGACGAGTGGATGTAGAGATGGGAGCCGCGAAGATGGAAGGAGGGTCAGGGGGATCGGGCTCCAGAGAGATGAGCTCAACCTCGGGACAGAGTGGATCGTAGCGAAGAAGATCCATGACGTTCACTGAGTAGAACATGACGTCCTCCTGTCGTATGAAGTGAGCAAACTGACGAGGGGAAGTGAACGCGATGTTGGGGTGGGACCCTGAGGGACGAGGGTCCTGGGGANTATGAAGTGAGCAAACTGACGAGGGGAAGTGAACGCGATGTTGGGGTGGGACCCTGAGGGACGAGGGTCCTGGGGAGGTAGGTCGGGCGGGGTGTCGCCCGTGGTTCCAATGAACGGGACACGATGGGTCTGACCACACTTCGTTTTGAGAACGAGTGTCTCAGCCGCCCATTCGGCCTCTGTGCCACGGAACCGGCGAGACCAGGGAGTGCCAAGGATAAAGTCGTACCCAGTCTCCAACACGTCGAAGTATGCGGAGGAATGGTAGCGCCTATGCGTCTGGGACTATCCGATGGCTGGAGGGTGAGGGAGAAGTGGAGGTCGGGGACCGTCTGATCGAAGAAGCGCTGCGTCTTGTTATCCCCGAGGGTAACAGAGATAGGAGAGCGAGACCCAGAGGTAGCTAGGTGAGCTTCCTCAACCACGCAAGGGTGAACGAAATCTCCCTGCGAGCCGGAGTCCCATAAAGCGCGGTACACCCTCGTAGATGTCCCTAGGCGAATAGGGATGATGGGTAGGGTGCGATCAGGGTCAGAGAGCAAGGCGAGAAGACGACGCAGAACATTGATGTGTCTCGTGAGGCGCTACTGACGAGCCTGCAGAATGCTCAAGTCTAGGAGAGATGACACAACGTCATCGCGAGTCGCCAGCTGAGCGCTACAACGGGTTGTGCGAATGGCGCGACGCGTCGGAAGTCTCGGGGGAGAAGCGCTAGATGCGGCGGTCTGCTGGGAGGCAGACGGTACCTCGACAGACGATGGGGCGGAGAGAACTGCGTCTGTCGTGTCCTGAGGGTCCTCTGGTGGGGTAGCCAAAGGGGCAAACCGCGACTCGGTGGTCGGGAAGCCGGCTACGTGCGAGGCCTCAGGGGCACCGTGCATCGTGGCTAGGTGGATGGGGTTGGCCGGGCGGGGCCGGGGGGGGACTGAGATCGACGCTGACGAGAGATGCCAGTGTAGTGCCGATCGAGGGCGGTATGGTATGGACACCGTGAGGAGGTGTGTCCATCGAGGCGGCAACGAAGGCAACCGCGCCGGGCCTCGAGGGCGGCATGCTCCTCAGGGGATAGAGCTCCGCGAGGAGGGACATAACCTTGCGGGAGGTCTATCTGAGGAACCGTGGGTGTGCGGGCGCCAGCCTGTGCAACCCGGCTACGAGCACGACCCATGACAGACATGGCCATCAGCAAGCGCTCGGCCACCGGAACAGTGTCGTCATCCAAGTGATACTGGATGACGTCTCGTAGCTCAATGTCCTCGGGGGCGTCCCCAAGGGTAGGGTCAAACTCGGTCGAGGCGTCCTCGCCGTACTCCAGAGAACTGTAGCGCCGAGAGAATGGCGCTCCAGGGTGGGTTGGTCGACGAAACCGGCCAGCGAAGGAGGATCGACCGCGAGTAGCACCACGTGACTGTGTGGCGGCAGCGGTGGATCGCGAAGAAGATGGGGTGTCGGAGAAGCGATTCCGCATCTTCTGGTACTGTCGAGCAGCCTCGTAGGCTTGCTCGGTGGAGGCGAAGCTCTGTCGCCAGAGCTCAATACGGTAGTTAGTCGGGAGACTGACTACGAACCTGTTGGTCAAAAGGGCCTCAGGTAGGAGTGCCTCATCGCAAATGAGGCGGGCGTCCTGGAACACTCTGATGTGACGCTCAAGATCGGAGGGTGTGGAGGACCCGCGCCACTGCGTCTGGGTGACCCGGTCTAGGGTGTTGGTCGCATCGTGCAGGGTGCCGTAGCGGTCGTGGAGGAACGCGGTGAAATCCGCGAAAGTGGGCGCCTCACGTGCACAAGTACGATGGGTATAATAGTTCTCCCAAGCGGAGAATGCACTGCCTCGCAATTTAGTTGCGAGGGCGGAACACCACAAGTCCTGACTAGTGTTAGTCAGTGTTAGCGCGCATGTGGCAGCCTGTAGCCAGTGCGACACACGCATCGTACCATCGTAGTCGGGTATGTCCGACTGACGCACAAGGGTGCGACTGCTGTGGTGGTGGCGAGGGGAGAGGGGCTGATGGGTCTGCGCTACGACGGAAAATGTCGGAGTTGGTGCAGAGGTAGAAGTGGGGGCTGGCGGTGAGCCGGGGCCGCTGGTGGAAGGTCGAGCGGGCGTGGAGGTAACGGCCGCAGCCCACTGTGACGGAGTAGCAAGGTAGGAGGGTAGAAGGGGGGGAGCCGGTCGAGGGAAGCGAGCCGGCAAGACAGTGGTGGGAGGGACGGTGTACGAAGAAGGAGGGTGTGCAGCTTGTGGAGGGTGAGGCTGTCTAAGGGAGAGAATCTCCGCTTGGAGCTGCGCCACAGTGACTTGTAGAGTAGCCACTTGCTGGGTGCACGGGGTCGGGGGTGGAGGAGGCGGAGGGAGTGCCCTAGCAGGGAGAGGAAGAACTCCGGGCCGAAGTACTGTAACTGGTGCAGGAAGCTGCGACGCAGCACCGGGGTGGGTAGATGAGACTGCCTGGCCCGATGTCGGTATCTGGGCGACGGCACATCCGGCGGTGGCCGAAGCGGTAGGGGCGGCGGAGGTGGCGGCGACCGGTGGGTGTACCGCCACAGACGGTGTGGTCTGGGCTGCAGCAACACTCACCACTGGGGCGGGGGAGTGCTGGGCCTGGCCCGCAGATGAGGACGAACCGCTACGTCTCCGTCTCTGGTGTCGTGGAGACTCCGAGCTGGTAGGCGATGGGGTCTGAGAGCGGTGGGGGGACCGATGAGGGGAACCCTTGAGGCGGTGAACTTCAAGGGCGAGCGCATTAACTTGCGTCTCCAGGGGTGCAAGCGCATCGAGTCGCGCTTGCAGAGGTGCWAGGAGGGACRCAAGAACARMGCGAAGGTCCGTGGGGTCCACACCATGCTGACCCTGGACCGTGGGGTGGGTGGGCGCCTGAGAGGTGGATGGCGCCGCAACGATCTCCTCCACTGTAGCCATGTCCGTGGATGGTGGAGGAAGAGAGGTAGACATGGTGGGAGGTGGGGGGAGATATGGGTTGTGGTATGGGGACAGAGAACCACCGGTGAGAGGGAGAGGACAGCGGGAGCGGAGTAGGTAGTCGTGGGTCGGCTCGCCCCGTGACCAACAGGTCGCGCGTGAGATGGTGGCGCGGATCCGGTCTAGGGGAGAGGAGCGTTGGGTGCCCGACGGGAGGAGGTGGGAGAGTAGGGGGGTTAGGGAAACCCTAAACCCTAGAGAAACCCTAAGGAAACCCTAACCGGAGCTTAGGTGGTTAGGGGAAGGTGGCGGCGACCTAATCAAGAAAAGAAAATAATAAATATGGAGGGGAGGGAGAATAGAGTAAACAGTGGATTTTCGAGATAAAAATAAAATAAAAGAATAAATAGAAATAAATAAATAAATAAATAAGGAGGTGGAGGAGAGTGAAGAGAAACTAAGTTTTGAAAATTTTCAAAAATTTCGGTAGCATTTCGTTACCCCCATGGGGTCGAAGTGTGCCGTCAAGAAAAAGACT